CCGCCCACCTTCCAGGCTCCTCGAGCGCCTTCTCGAATGTTCCCGAGAGCTCTCCGGGACCACGTGACCGCTCCTCGGCCTCCAGTGGCCCCCCTCCAGTATCGTCCAGTCACATGACAACAGGTCAGCCAGAGTATCATGCCCCAGAGTAATCCTGGCTGGCTGACACTCGCTCTCGCTCTCTCACTGGGAGCCGGCACCGCACACTGCTCGCGGTGCCCCCGTGCTAACCAGCGCTCACCCAACAACCGCTAGTGTTGGTACTGCAGCCTGCAACCCGGGCTGCCCGCAATGACATTACCGGCCGTGACTTTGCAAGTCCCGGCACCACAGTGACAGGTACAGTCACTACACACGTAAAAATTAGTAAGTGTCTCTACAGATCACTGGAATATAATCCACACAATTACACAGCAATCAGCTGATAATGCATTTAACAAAACTAACACTACCCAAATTAACAAATTTGCTAGACTGGCTAACAAACAACTCTCAATTAAAAATGAACATTTTATAAACAAAACAGTTATCAACATGACTAATGTTGAATTATCCAGCGATATGGTTTCAGTCCTGTCTAAAGGTCTTAACTTTTCTGTTGCCCATTGTACAATCCCTGTCGATGAGATCATTGCTTAAGTGGAATCAGCAGTTAGACATCTCCCCATAATTAAGCTGAGATGACTAGGCAAGAGGTTGCCAAAATTATTGATAACAGCAAATTGCCAAAAGCAAATATTAACTTCAGTGAAGCAAAAGCCTTGAGAGAATTGAGAGCAAATAAAGATATTCAAATTCTTGCTGCTGATAAGGGCCGATCAACTGTTGTGATGCCCCGTGAGGACTATGATAATAAAATAAAAAATGTACTCGATGAAGGTACCTACCTTAACAAACCAGCACCATGGAACGTAAAACAACGGCAATCATTGCCAAGTCATAAATTCCCAAGGAAGAGCAATACCTAATCAAACCAAGGGCATCAAAACCACCAAGACTTTATGGGCTACCAAAAATTCACAAACCTGATGTCCCATTAAGACCCATAGAATACAATAAGCTCTGCCACGTACAAATTAGCACAATATGTAACGAAACAAATACAGCCCTATATCGGTAGGACCTCTTCGTTCATCAAAAACTCTAAACATCTCATAAATATAATTAAAGATATTAAGCTTAACCCTAATGATATTCTCGTAAGTTTTGATGTGACTTCTATGTTCACGAGGGTTCCGGTCAACGAGCCAATTAAATTACTCGATACTCTGGTAACGAACAAAGGTTTAGCCAAAGATATCCCAAGACTAGCTGAACACTGTCTAAAGAACATTTCTTGTGGCGATGTGACTTCTATACACAAAAGGAGCAGCAATGGGCTCTCCTTTGTCTCCTGTGATAGCTAATTTGTACATGGAGGATTTCGAAATAAAAGCAATATCTTCAAGCACACTAAAACCATCTGCTTGGTTTAGATATGTGGATGACACATCAGTGGTCTAGCCACACGGCAAAGATACACTGAACGCATTTCTAAATCATCTCAACTCGCAAAACCCATCCATCCAGTTCACCATGGAAGTGGAAGATGACATAACTCTAACATTTCTGGATATTCTGCTCGGACGGGGTCGAAATGGTTGAAAAATGGCTCAAAAAACGCATGATTGTGACAACACCAAGGCAGCACTGATGAGCCAGAGTTGCTCCTTGCTCAAGATCTTCTTCTCTAATTGACTCCCTCCCTCTTCACGTTTCTATGATATGATTAATACAATCTTGATTTGAAGCTTTCGTGACTACAGGAATCCATACTCTCTGGTTATTTCGGTAAAGTCACATAGATAGAAAAAATAATAATAGAACACGACGTTTCGGTCGCAACACAAGCGTCCGTCATCAGGTGAGAAAGAATGATCTGCTGTTGTGGCTTTATGTAGGCACGGGAGAGGGGAAGAGGAGGGGAGGGGGTTTTGTTAAGTAAAATTAGCATGTCAATGAGATTTAAATCTTGAGTCTTGACTTATAGCTTTCGTGGCTGCAGGAGTTCACGGGGGGAGGGTTTGTGGCGTGCAGGGATGGAGGGGGGGGGGCTGGAGAAATTAGCATGTCAATGAGCTTGAATTAGTAAATGAAAACAGCAGGGGTGGGTGAGTGAAAATCACAGCAGTTAAAACTTGACGTGGTTTATCATGTCCTTCCAATGATTGAGATTTCGTGGTTGCAGGAGTTCACAAAGCGGATTTGAAACACGGTAGAACCAACACCTCGGCGGTGGCGGATCATTGTTTCAACGCTGTGGGCACACATGACATTGTTTTTTTCCGAAACCAAGGTGCTCTGCAAACTCTCGGGCTACCATCAGAGAATTTGTTCATGAAGCCATCCAGATATACAAACACAGACAAAACTTTAATGGAGAAGATGGATTCAGATTGAGCAATCATTAGAAGGACGTGATAAACCACGTCAAGTTTTAACTGCTGTGATTTTCACTCACCCACCCGTGCTGTTTTCTAAAAAATATGCGTTTACTAATTCAAGACTCAAGATTTAAATCTCATTCACATGTAGAGGTGTTACGGAGGGCAAACAAACACACTGGGCGTGGTTATGCCTGTACGCCAAGAGGTGCTTACATCCACGTCCGCACCGTTTAGCCTGGGGGGCTAACACGGCGCTGGGATCCCCCACGGCCCCACCCCTCAGTGAGGGAGTTGCTATATAAGGTGGTGAGCCGGAGGGCTCGGGGTTCAGTGTTCAGCCTTAACCAGCGAAGCAAGAAGACCGGCTAGATAGGCCCTGGGACTCCCCTGGATCGCTGTCCTTCTCAGGACCGACCAGGGCAAGCCAGTGGCGTGGCCCCAAGAGCCCAGAGCCGATGCTCTTGTAAGAGCCGGTCTGGGGACTCAGGGTGCCGTAATCTCAGCTTAACCAGAGCTGGGTTAGCTAGCCTCCCCTAGCCCTGTAGTGGAGGACCTAGGAGTAGGCTAGCCGTGACATAGATTGTGTGATCTCCCTGTTAGACGGGTGAAGGGGCCGATACCCCTTCGAGTGTTGTACATCTCGGCCTGTTATGTAGATTGTGGTTAATAAATAAGTGTGCCTCCAACTACGTCGTCCAAGTCTCCTGGAACCTACTACACACATACTAATTTCTCCAGCCCCCACCCGTCCCTGCATGCCACAAACCCTCCCCCCTCTGGGTAATGACGGCTCTAGCGAGGCATGGCGTGTGATGTATTTACATCGCGGAGACCCCGTATATGTGGGTGTAGTACCAGCCCTAGAGGGGCTCGGTGAGCCCTGATAAAGAACGCTGAGTGACACCACGCTCGGCGTGCAGTGCTGTCCCATATAGGAGGGGGGTGTGAGAGTGCCGGCCATGAATGGGGTTAATGTAGGCCATGGCACTCTGGTTGACCCTAGAAGGCACGTGACGGTAAGATCTACACAGGGGCCCCAAGTGGGGGCTAGGGGTGGTCACATGTCGGAGCGAGATCCTGCTAGAGGATTCTAGAAGGTGATCATAGCCAAGGGCGGAGCCAGCCACGACCAGGGAACATATAAACCGGGTCCCCAGAGGGACCGGGGTTCAGCATTGCTGTGTTATCCTGAAGATCTACATTCTAAGTTCGACGTCCGAGAAGAGTCACCAACACGTGGACCTGGACCCAAGCCAGGGTCCTGTCCGTTGTAGCTACTCCTAGTGTAATTAGTGTAGTTAGCGTGGTGGTCCACCACCATAGGTTGTTATCTGGTAAAGCGGCAGTTACCCCATTGTGTTGGTATCAATAAATGTGTTGCCTCCTAGGAGTACGTCTGCAACTCACTTGAACTCACGACAGTTAGAATAACAAAAAATGGTGCTCTATTATAAGGTGTTCTACTTTTACACTAAACAAAACCAAATAGCATTACATTAGCTGTGTTCTTCACTGGCTCTTATTTTGCCACCCGCTTCTTTATTATCTTTGTAATTTTCATGCACGGCGCCTTGAGACATTTTGAATTTCACCTGAAAAGATTAAATTATTATTAGTCCACAACTGTCATCTACCAAAGTTCCAGCTCACATGTACACAAGGTCTTATGGCCAATGGTGCACGGTTCCTCTGGAAATATAATTACAGGCATCCCTCGCGTAACACGCGCCCCCCCCCCCCCTTTAGCGCAAATTCGCAAGTTCCACAATTCATCTTCGAGGGACATACTTCACACTGACGCTATGCGTTTCAAGAAAAAACTAAAAAATTAAATATTTTTCTCAAAAATGTGTTCAATGATCAAAATTCAAAATAAACAATAATTCTGATTGCGTCACCACGCCATGGCAGCGCTCAGTGTCACGGGCTGGGTGTGGCCATCGTAGATCTGCTGCCTTTGTTTGCATCATACATGATGCTGCAAGCAACCCACGTAAGCATTCAAGAAGCCTTGAAGTTACTTCATATTAATTAATCTTTATAAGTAGTAATCTTTAGCATCTTATTATGTTATTAAACTCCTTCTTAAGTCTAGATTTGTAATATCGATATTAAACGACTTCATTTATCATTGCTAGCACACCCCCCCCCCCTTACAACATGTACGTCTGTGGGAAAATAAGCTTAAAACAGCGTGATTCGACTTACGCGCTGTCTTTCAGAAACACATGTCACGCGTCATGCGAGGGACGACTGTGCTACATGTGTTTACCTAGGAGAGCCTCACTGAGTCTTGATATTCGTTTGAAAGAGGGTTCTGCCATGAGTGGGTGATGTTGCAATGTGTAATCCAAACTGGCTAATTTTCAGGTATTTCTTCTGCATGGAGATGTTTTGGCCAGATATATTTGATGGGGCTTTTTTCTCTCTGGGAGGAAACCCATGCGGTATAGGTGAAAAACATCCAAACTCCACATACTCACATGGTGCCAATCGGGAATCGAACCTAATACATTCTTGCTATACGGCACAAGCATTACCACTGTGCCACCTTGCAGCATGGAAGTCACTTACAGAGCAGGGACTGGTGGCTCACATCAGCTGTGTCCAGCACCAACTCCAGCTTCTGTCTCTCCAGCTTCGTCTGCGTTGCAACAGCACGACTTACATATCACTTGAATGATTAATAATATACATATATTACTATGTTAATGGCCAAAGTAAATTATCTCACAATACAGGATGTCATTGGTTTAACTGCTTAAAATAAGGAATATTTATTAGCCTACAAGTCATCCGGAATGCTTCCATTATGTATGTCTGAAAAAAATGAACCGGTTAACAATTTCAACTCTTTAATATAGTTTATGAACAAGTATAACCCGTAAAAACAAAGTTTTTCACTATAAATCCTTTGTATGCGTGGCGGCTAGAGTCCTCTCGTCCTCTGGCTTGAGATGGCTGCCACCTATGGGTCAGATGATTGCATGGCACCATTAAGCAATTGGTAATTAATTATAATATTTTTGTCCGAAAAAGTGTAAAATTTTGGAAAAAAATTTTCACGAACATTAATTGTCACGCACAACGAGTCTGTGTGGAAAATGTCAGCTCGATTGGATCACGGGAAGTGGGTTAAAAAACGACCGAAAGATTTTCACGGTCGTAAGCAAGCAAGCAAGCGCGCAAGTGAACTTAATATAAAGAATTTAAAAATAAAACACTCCAAAAAGTTTTCCATGGAATACGATATCACTAACAATCGTGTGGATTACTATATTACTCTGTTTGAATGTCCATTTATTACTTTGAGGATATAAATTGAAAATAACATTGAGTTCATAGTGGTGTGTTTATAAATCAGTGTTACCAACAAGTTGTGGAAAATAAAAGAACATTAATGGATGCCCTGGTATGGGCAGAAGCCATCAAAGAATAATTTAGCGCCACAAAATTATATCACCAGTTACTCTATCCTCCAGTCCTACCTTGTTGACCTCAGTCTGCAGTGCTGCAATTTCATTTTGAAGTTTTATTTGGTGGACAACAGCAGATTTCTTTTCCACTTGTTTCCTGTTGTCTTCCATCTCCTCCTAAAACGTGAGCAGGGTAGTAACATTTACCATCTGACCTCAACAGATTCAGTCAGTCTATTTATTAAAATGTAACTTACATTATAAAATCATGGGTCTGGATACATGAATAGTGCAGGGTGTTTCAAAATAGGAAAAGGGTGCTGTGTTTAAACTAAATATACAAATCAGGGGTGGGTTCAAATGCACACAGGTGTAAAATTAAGTTAAGAGAGAATGTGATTATCCGTATGCTGACTTTAGATTTAAACTGGGAAGAGGAACATACCGTGGAAATGTACAAGGGGAGGCAGTTGCAACGTGTGTGGGGAACAGTGGTGAAGGAGTGACCCGCCGACTGAGTGGAGGATGAAACACTAAAGGGAGGCTTGTGATTGTCAGGTGACTATATTTACAAGAGCATGATACTGCTCACCAGTGTAGTGTGCAATTTTACTGCAAGATGTTCTCATCCTCAAAAAGTATGAGAACAAGTGTTATAGCTCAAATATCTATTAGTTATGCACATGTCAGGATTGTGGCTGCATAGTGACTTTGAGGATCATCCACGAGCTATGCTGATACATGCTGATGAGTGCAGAAATATTGTGATAAATCTTGACTTAAAGCTTTCGTGACTGCAGGAATTCATATTTGGGTCTTTCGGTAAAGCCACTTAGAAAAAAATAAATCACGTTTCGATCAACACAAGCAATCGTCATCATATTTTTTCTTGCCTCAGCAGCTCTCCCGCTATATTTTTTAACCTGATGACGATTGCTTGTGTTGCGATCGAAACGTCTAGATTTTTTTCTATTTGTGTCTTTACCGAAAAACCCAAAGAATAATATTGTGATAATTGTACATGATGCGACTATGGTGGCATGCATGTTATTGTGGGGTAAAGTCTTACTTGGGTTATCATCCCATCAGCGACGGCTCTCGAAAGAAATAACGCCACACTAGAGGGACACTCTGCCTCCCAAGGGTTCCGCTCATTGCCCTGAAGATTTTTATCAACCATAGTCACGTAGATTCAGCAACTAGAATTCAAAAACAGAAAAAGCAGCATGTTGGACACTGGATAAGATGTAACACTGTACCTTGATCACCCTGACTTCACACCATATAATCATCATCACCAGCTAGGGTACCAACTGCTCGATGAGGCCAATCCCATTGCCCACGTGAAGCCCCCATAAGAGAGAACAGCACTACCCACATGGACATGCATCAACCGAATCAGCTGACATAAACATGCGGATGCACATAGGTGAATGAGCATTGACAACTCGTAACCTACACACGGTGTACATGGCTGGTTTAGTTGAACGGCTAAGAGTTTCCCCTTTTGTTGGAAAACACGTGTACTTACTGCAAGTTATATGTACGTGTGTATACTGAGTATAGAGGTGTTTATCTGAGGGGTTAGCTGCAGGTAACCGTGAGTCTGGGGCAGAATCTCTGTGTGTGCAAAACAATTTCGTAATACTGCATTAGCAGTGGTGTTGAGCACAAATAAAAACGTTAGGCAATAATAGTCGATGTTTTGGGAAATTGCCCTTCTTCATATTGTGCAATGAAAGGCCACTGCATATGCAGGCATCCCTCGATATACGAATATATATTCCTGAAAATGCATCCGTATAGTGAAGTTCCGTATATCGAACCCTTATTTTCCTACTGACCTGCATATAATTGGCGATACGTTCCTATGGAAAATTGGCCCCAAGACGTAAGAACACAGCAAACCTGACCTTTAATAAGCACAGATTTAATGGAAAACAGATAAAACATTTAAATGTCTTTATCGTACTCAAAATAAGTCGTGAAATCAGAATGAATCGTTATTTAGTCTGGAGGAATGCAATGAGCTATTATGATTTTTCAAACATGTCCAGAAAATGTTTTTTGTACAGTATTTGTAGTTACCAGATACTGTGATTGCCATGTGAGGTGGTTGTGCTGTGGATTTGCAAGCCTGTCTACGGCGTTCATGATATAGTTTTGCCATCAAAAAGTATTCCTCAAATAAGCCTTGAAGGTGTTGATCACGAATTGATCCATGGACTGGATAAAGCCAGTCGTGTTTTTGGGAGGTACTCCCACCCTCACATTATGAGACCAATCACCTAAATATACTGGGTGCCATGGGGTATTGTCTAGGATGAGCAATGCCTTGTTGGCGACATTACTTTTGGCATGGAACCTTTCAAAAGCAGGCCATTTGGGAACAAATTGCTGTCGCCCAAACCTTCTTGTTCGATCGCCAGGCAAGGTAGTTAACATCTCGCCACGATGGCGAGATGTTAACTACCTTGCCAAAGTGGGCTTTACCTAGTATAATAAAATGTGCCTATTTCTAGTGACTCGCTTACCTTTCCTATACTTCATAACCCGCCCCTTTTGGACATCCGTGCAAAAGAGCTTCATAGCTCATCGGATTTCACCAGAATAAAAAACAATATTCTGATTCTGACCAGGCGTGATCAACGCCTGCACCAAAACAAGGCGAGGCCGGTAAACACGCAGCGCGGGAAGCAGTGCAGCGTGAAATGCACGCCGAGCATGAACCAAAGACCGAAGGATGGAAAGAGGTTGTGAAAACGAAAGGCCAGCGAGCATTGTTCGATTTCCTACACCTCCCCACCCCGTCTCCAAACAAATTTGGATTAAACATTTTGTAAATGAGAATTTAACGTAAAGTACATCGACTTAGTCCCCGAGTTTATAAGTTAGGGTCTAGCGAAATTCCGTGTATTCAGTCGACTTATAATGACGGATGACTCTACTGTATATTGACGAATGTTTTTTTTCATACAGAGACGTATGCACTATAATATGACTTTTCGTCGGCTCAAGTGAATTATTATAGCAGCGTTCCCGTGTCTGACCCGCCCCGACTGGACACATGGGGAAAAGAGCTTCAAAGCTCATCGGATTCCTTCCCGTCCACTCTACCGGTAATTCAAGGTCCCCATTCTGTCTCTCACCTCTCCGCGTTCCCGCGTTCCGCATTCAATTTGCGTCTCGAGCACCGCCACCCAATCGGAGGCCGCCTTACTCACGCACGGAGCCAATGGACGAAATCAACATTTAAGATACCTTTGTGCAGCTAATCAACGAGAACCTACGGTGGCTCGCATCGACGCGTGGACAAAACGCGTTTCGTAATTAGTGGCGGCTCCTTTTATGTGACGTCATCAGCATAACTGTCATAACGTTGGAACTTTTTTTTGCCAGTTTCAGTTTTCATTTCATTTATTAGGTACTAGCAGAAGTACCCGGCGTTGCCCGGGTGAAAAATATATTTCTTAATAACCTTACATATATACACAGATACTAAGGTATTGTCAAAGCCCACCACTCACAACTCACCCTCACCACTCATCCTCACCACTCCCACTCACTACTCACCCTCACCATTCACCATCACAACTCACCACTCACCAATCTCCCTCACCAATCTCCCTCACCCTCACCACTCACCCTCACCACTCACCCTCACCACTCACCAATCACCACACACCCTCACCACTAACCCTCACCACTCACTCTCACCATTCACCCTGACCATTCAGCCTCACCACTCACCCTCACCACTCTCCCTCACCAGTCACGCTTACCACTCACCCTCACCACCACCACTCACACTCACGCTCACCACTCACTCTCTCCCTCTCCACTCACCCTCACCACTCACCCTCACTACTCACTAATCACCCTCACCACTCACCCTCACTACTCACTAATCACCTTCACCACTCATCCTCACTACTTACTACTCACCACCACCAATCACCCCTCACCACTAACCCTCACCACTCACCCTCACCACTCACAATCACCATTAACCCTGACCCCTCACCACTGACCACTCACCCTCCCCACTCACCCCTCCTACTCACCACTCAACCTCACCACTAACCCTCACCCCTGACTACTCACCCTCCCCACTCACCACTCACCCTTCCTACTCACCACTCAACCTCACCCTCACCACCCACCACTCACCCTCACCACTCACCCTTCCTACTCACCACTCACCCTTACCCTCACCACTCACCCTTACTATTCACCACTCACCCTCACCACACACCCTCACCACTTAACCTCACCACTCAACCTCACCACTCACCCTCACCACTCACCCTCACCATTCACCCTCAACACTCACCCTAACCCCTCTCCCTCACCACTCTCCCTCACCACTCACCGTCACCACTCACCCTCACCACTGACCACTCACCCCTCACCATCACCACTCACCCTCACCACTAACCCTGACCCCTCACCACTGACCACTCACCACTCACCCTCACCTTCACCCTCAACACTCACCCTAACCCCTCTCCCTCACCACTCTCCCTCACCACTCACCGTCACCACTCACCCTCACCACTGACCACTCACCCCTCACCATCACCACTCACCCTCACCACTAACCCTGACCCCTCACCACTGACCACTCACCACTCACCCTCACCACTAACCCTAACCATCACCACTCAACCTCACCACTCTTCGTCATCACTCACCCTCACCACTCACCCCTCACCCTCACCACTCACCCTCACCACTCACCCCTCACCATCACCACTCACCCTCACCACTCTCCCTCACCACTCACTCTCACCATTCACCCTCACCACTCACCCTCACCACTCAACCTCACCACTCAACCTCACCCTCACTACTCACCATTCATCCTGACCAATCACCACTGACCAATCACCACTCACCACTCTCCACTAACCCTCACCACTCAACCTCACCACTCACCCTCAAAACTAACGACTCTCTCACCACTCACCCTCACCACTCAGCACTCACCCTCACCACTCACCCTCACCGCTCACCACTCACCACTCACCCATCACCACTCACAACTGCCACTCACCCTCACAACAACCACTCACCCTCACCACTCACCCTCACCACTCACCCTCACCACTAACCCTTACCACTCACCCTCACCACTAACCCTCACCATCACCACTCACCCTTACTACTCATCACTCATCCTCACTACTTACTACTCACCACCACCAATCACCCCTCACCACTAACCCTCACCACTCCTCACCACTCACAATCACCACTAACCCTGACCCCTCACCACTGACCACTCACCCTCCCCACTCACCCCTCCTACTCACCACTCAACCTCACCACTAACCCTCACCCCTGACTACTCACCCTCCCCACTCCCCACTCACCCCTCCTACTCACCACTCAACCTCACCACTAACCCTCACCCCTGACTACTCACCCTCCCCACTCACCACTCACCCTTCCTACTCACCACTCAACCTCACCCTCACCACCCACCACCCACCCTCACCACTCACCCTTCCTACTCACCACTCACCCTTACCCTCACCACTCACCCTTACTATTCACCACTCACCCTCACCACACACCCTCACCACTTAACCTCACCACTCAACCTCACCACTCACCCTCACCACTCACCCTCACCATTCACCCTCAACACTCACCCTAACCCCTCTCCCTCACCACTCTCCCTCACCACTCACCGTCACCACTCACCACTCACCCTCACCACTCACCCCTCACCACTCACTCTCACCACTAACCCTGACCCCTCACCACTGACCACTCACCACTCACCCTCACCTTCACCCTCAACACTCACCCTAACCCCTCTCCCTCACCACTCTCCCTCACCACTCACCGTCACCACTCACCCTCACCACTGACCACTCACCCCTCACCATCACCACTCACCCTCACCACTAACCCTGACCCCTCACCACTGACCACTTACCACTCACCCTCACCACTAACCCTCACCATCACCACTCACCACTCACCCTCACCACTAACCCTCACCATCACCACTCAACCTCACCACTCTTCGTCATCACTGACCCTCACCACTCACCCCTCACCACTCACCCTCACCACTCACCCCTCACCATCACCACTCACCCTCACCACTCTCCCTCACCACTCACTCTCACCATTCACCCTCACCACTCACCCTCACCACTCACCCTCACCACTCAACCTCACCACTCAACCTCACCCTCACTACTCACCATTCATCCTGACCAATCATCACTGACCAATCACCACTCACCACTCTCCACTAACCCTCACCACTCAACCTCACCACTCACCCTCAAAACTAACGACTCTCTCACCACTCACCCTCACCACTCAGCACTCACCCTCACCACTCACCCTCACCGCTCACCACTCACCACTCACCCATCACCACTCACAACTGCCACTCACCCTCACAACAACCACTCACCCTCACCGCTCACCACTCACCCTCACCACTCACCCTCACCACTAACCCTCACCACTAACCCTTACCACTCACCCTCACCACTAACCCTCATCATCACCACTCACCCTTACTACTCACCACTCATCCTCACTACTTACTACTCACCACCACCAATCACCCCTCACCACTAACCCTCACCACTCACCCTCACCACTCACAATCACCACTAACCCTGACCCCTCACCACTGACCACTCACCCTCCCCACTCACCCCTCCTACTCACCACTCAACCTCACCACTAACCCTCACCCCTGACTACTCACCCTCCCCACTCACCACTCACCCTTCCTACTCACCACTCAACCTCACCCTCACCACCCACCACCCACCCTCACCACTCACCCTTCCTACTCACCACTCACCCTTACCCTCACCACTCACCCTTACTATTCACCACTCACCCTCACCACACACCCTCACCACTTAACCTCACCACTCACCCCTCACCATCACCACTCACCCTCACCACTAACCCTGACCCCTCACCACTGACCACTCACCACTCACCCTCACCTTCACCCTCAACACTCACCCTAACCCCTCTCCCTCACCACTCTCCCTCACCACTCACCGTCACCACTCACCCTCACCACTGACCACTCACCCCTCACCATCACCACTCACCCTCACCACTAACCCTGACCCCTCACCACTGACCACTCACCACTCACCCTCACCACTAACCCTCACCACTCACCACTCAACCTCACCACTCTTCGTCATCACTCACCCTCACCACTCACCCCTCACCACTCACCCTCACCACTCACCCATCACCACTCACCCTCACCACTCTCCCTCACCACTCACTCTCACCATTCACCCTCACCACTCACCCTCACCACTCACCCTCACCACTCAACCTCACCACTCAACCTCACCCTCACTACTCACCATTCATCCTGACCAATCACCACTGACCAATCACCACTCACCACTCTCCACTAACCCACACCACTCAACCTCACCACTCACCCTCAAAACTAACGACTCTCTCACCACTCTCCCTCACCACTCAGCACTCACCCTCACCACTCACCCTCACCGCTCACCACTCACCACTCACCCATCACCACTCACAACTGCCACTCACCCTCACAACAACCACTCACCCTCACCGCTCACCACTCACCCTCACCACTCACCCTCACCACTAACCCTCACCACTAACCCTTACCACTCACCCTCACCACTAACCCTCACCATCACCACTCACCCTCACTACTCACCACTCATCCTCACTACTTACTACTCACCACCACCAATCACCCCTCACCACTAACCCTCACCACTCACCCTCACCACTCACAATCACCACTAACCCTGACCCCTCACCACTGACCACTCACCCTCCCCACTCACCCCTCCTACTCACCACTCAACCTCACCACTAACCGTCACCCCTGACTACTCACACTCACCACTCACCCTTCCTACTCACCACTCAACCTCACCCTCACCACCCACCACCCACCCTCACCACTCACCCTTCCTACTCACCACTCACCCTTACCCTCACCACTCACCCTTACTATTCACCACTCACCCTCACCACACACCCTCACCACTTAACCTCACCACTCAACCTCACCACTCACCCTCACCACTCACCCTCACCATTCACCCTCAACACTCACCCTAACCCCTCTCCCTCACCACTCTCCCTCACCACTCACCGTCACCACTCACCCTCACCACTCACCCCTCACCATCACCACTCACCCTCACCACTAACCCTGACCCCTCACCACTGACCACTCACCACTCACCCTCACCAC